GTACTAAAGCTAGTACAAAGTTGTGTCATTTATTTTGGGTCGGAGGGAGTAACATGGAAGGAGCACAACAAGATTCTTATTTCCAATGTATAGACGCGACGAGCTAGTGAATTTATAGTGAAATTAAGCAGATAACAAGAAATGGCGGGCGAACCATCGATCGAGCCAGTGAGTGCATGGACTGTTGCACACACTTTCTTGGCCCGAGAAAAGAGGCGATACATGATGCGTGTTGCCCCTAATTATCCATGACTGACGAAAGCTACACCTCAAAATCGACCACTTAATTTGCTATAGTAGCAGTAGTATACAATTAATTTGTTGATGATTTCATCCGGCAAAGTAGGTAATGATTCGATTGGTTTGCAAGGAGTCATGTCAACGCCCGATTGGCGAACAAGCTAATTAATCAACTTACTAGATAGCTGGCCAGTCAACCATCAAGTCGTCAACACGCATCGATCCTATCCTATCCCAAATTATCTATCAGTTCCAACATAGTATGTCCATCACGGCCCACTGCATCGATTGTAGTAAGATAGCTGGTCTGGTCGTGTTACTGGGAGATTAACAGGGTCACATTCAGACTGACAGCTACACGCACCACGAGAAGCAGAAGCGAGGCGAGATGATTTGAGGCGGACCTGATCGGCGACGGGGCTCGAAGTTGCGCCATGCATGATTGGTTGACGACGATGCGTATGCTTGTGGCGAAATGGATTCGACGAGACGCTTCGAGGGACAGAAAAGATTGGATGGCATGGCATAGGCCGGCCAGCCGCCCGCCTTTTTACCACTTGGAATTGGATGGAGCTGCACAGGCCCCATCAATCCGTCGCCTCGCCCTAGCCCATCCGTCCATGGACGATCGGGTTCGTGCGCACACTCATTCACTCGATTGATCGACCCTCTAGTAGCTAGCTAGCTCTAGCTATAAGCTGTACAGAAGAATCTGAACTAGTAGCAGCTAATGATTGTTCCCCATGTATTTCCTCTTTTCCGACGGGGTGGATCGATGATCGTTTGACGGATGGGTGGCTAGCTTGCTGCATGTGGCCGATGGAGCGACCCTGCTGAATTAAGCTTAGCTAAGGTAAAAAAGATAGGGTGGCAGAGCTTTTTTTTTTTTTTGAGGAGAACGGCGTGACTTTATTCATAGTTCAATGTTTTGGGGAATACATAAATGATCTGATAGATCAATCAACCACATGTCGACTTAGAGCATCTTCAGCCGCACCCCCAACAGGCCCTAACTTCCAGGCGTTTTTTTCGCGCCGGCACCGCAAAAACGCTCCAGTCGCGCCGCCAAGACGCAGAATTCTGCCGGTTCGGCCCGTTTTTGCGCCCGGCAATCGCAGGGCGAACCCGGCGCACTGGGGGGGGGGGCGGTCGGGGGCTCCGGCGCAAGGAAAAAGCGCACCTTGGGCCACACTATTAGGCGAAAAGTCAAGCCCACCCTGCCGAACCCGGCGCCGTCCACCGCCCACCACAGCTAGATAGATCATTCCCCGGCGAAAAAAAGAAGAGGTTTCGCCGAGGCAGCCCTCCGCCGCCGTCCGGGCAACTTTCCCGGTGTTCCGGCCGCGCAGGGCGTACACCGGCGGGTTTGAGCCCACCTCGCCCGCAAGGTGTTTGGTGATTTGCCCAACCCGGCGATGGACTCCGAAGATGAGGAGGGGCTTGCAACGTTGCTGGAGGAGGAAGCCGAAGCCGACGTCCAGGAGCAGGAGCATCTCATGGTGCTCGCTGCCCTCGCCGGCCTGCTCACGAGCAGTGAAAAGCCGCGCGCGAGGTGGCTCGGCGCCTGGGCGAGTGAAAGCAAAGAACTGACATCGTCTGGAAGGCTACTGCATGCTCTTTCTTTGGGATGCCAGGAACTCACAATGACATCAACGTCCTGCAGTGCTCCCCTGTCTTGCCAAGCTTGTTGAAGGTCATTCTCCTCCGGTGAACTTCGAGGTCAATGGGCGGCACTACAACAAGGGTACTATCTAACTGATGGCATCTATCCGGGATGGTCGACATTTGTGAAGACTATCTCAAACCCTGTGCCAGGAGGCAAGAACGCCTTCTTTGCGAAGGTTCAGGAGGCTTGCAGGAAGGATGTCGAGCGGGCATATGATGTGCTCCAATCTCGATTTGCTGTTGTCTGGTACTCTGCTCAGACCTGGTAGAAAGATCAAATATGGGAGATCATGACTTGCTGTGTCATCTTGCACAACATGATCATTGAGAGCGAGCAGAAGAGCCAGTGTTTGACACAAAACCATATTACAGGCAGGGTCCTCTTGCCCAAATTGATCACCGGCTACCGGCAACCTGGACTGACTACCTCAATATGCGTCAGGAGATCCGAGACCCACAGGTGCATCAAGAACTGCAACATTATCTGTTGGAGCACCTATGGAGGCTCAAGGGCGAAGCCGGAGCGACGCGAGGAATGACGTGTGATGAAACTTGAGTTTTTATTTGTTGAACTATATAATTTGTATTGAACTATTTGATTTATATTGATTTTCTGTGATGAACTATGGAGGCAAAAACACGTCGAAACACGTCAAACCACGCCGAACTATGTAAAAAACTAATTGATTTCTATTTGTATGCGACAATTCACGCCGAAACACGCCGAACCGCACCGAATATGAGCCGATTCACGCAGATATCGGGCCGTTTTTAGACAAAATTGGGCCGAATAATGGGCCGAAATCGGCGTCTGGGGACGACGGCTGGGTGCCCAACCGCCCCCAGAGCCGAGTATGCCGCCGGCTCGCCCCCAGACGGCAATTTTTATGCCTTCTGAGGGGGACCAACGGTTGGAGATGCTCTTACACTAAGAGAAGTTGCCGTCTTAGCCAACCTATGGGGTTCCCCATTGTGCTCACGCCCCTCATGACTGAACTTGTGCACTCGCATGCCTGCAGCTTTCTCATGTATCTCCTTGAGTATCATGCAGTAAGATCCCTCATTCACGACTCTCAGACAATCTGATGCCACATTTAATGTATTGACATGTAGGTCTTCAGCTAGGCACATGGCCTCCCTGCACGCATGAGCTTCTAGCGTTGCCGGGTCCGTGACACCATCCAGCACCACCAACAAAGCAGCCAAGAACCGGCCCTCCTCATCCCGGTAGACCACTGCAGCTGCTTCCCTATTTGTGTACTTTGCAACGACACCATCAGCATTCAGTTTAACACAGCCGGCGTCCGGTCGGATCCACATGCCACTAGATCGTGTGGGAGCCAAGCGAGCGGATGCTGCTGGCTTTGCACATACCTCCAGGTCTTGCAGATAACGTCTTATAAACATATGCGTGGAGAGTAGGATATGATATTCCTCCTCATGAATGGCTTTTTATCGCGCCCACCAGATCGCCCAAAGCGTGACCATAACCTCCACGAACTGAACATTAGCAAGTGTGTTACTTAGACAATTTAGCATTAGTAGTCTCATCGCCGACCAGCGGGATCAACACATCATCATTCCGGAGCGCCCACACACTTTCTGCCATATTGCAATCAAGTAATGCGTGTCTCCACGAGTCGCTTGCAACTCTACAGATAGGGTGGCAGAGCAGGAGTTCATTCTAGGTGAAGGAGGCTGCCATCGAAAGGTAGCTGTTTTCTTTTTTTTTTGTTTTTTGAGTATGCATAACAATATGGCTCGGCCCAGTTGCAAAATGTTGGCTCACTATTTTTGTCATATGAAGCGAGTGAGAAGAGAGTGGGCCGGCCCAGACTGTCTTGGTCCGCTTCGCCTATCTCCTCCTGCCTTCCATTCTAGAGAGAGAGACGGAGGCATCGCATCGGCCATTGAGAGGAAGCGAAGAGAGAGCGGCGGAGGAGGCGAAGGCATCATCCATGGCCGCGGTGGTCCGGAGCGTGTG